GGGTAATAAACATGAAGATAAAGATTTCTCAAAAAGAATAACAATATAGTGCAACAGTGACTCAGCAGTTACATACATTAAGTTACGTATCGGTAACTTTAAACTGTAACACGTTATCTTTTTTATGTAGCTAGTAACTGTATTTATACCATTTATAAAGTAATGATAAAAGCAACGACGTCACTTTTGTTGCTACTTTTCACAGTCTCTTGAGGATCAAGATAGCATGCACTTTTGAAATTATGTCTTCCGGCATTTGTATAGTTTAAAAAAAAATTCTGACCATTTGTTTTAACTGATTTTCAGGATAATTCGTATTTAGAAATATGGCCCCATTTGGGTGTTTCTCGTAAATTTGTCTCCTAACCACAACAACAATATTTAGTGCAAAGACTGACAAAATGTAAAGCAATGCGCGGAAAACGGTTTGTAGGTCCCAGCGTGTATATACGTGAGGGGAAAAAACCAATAAGCAATATTACGCAATTGGACGTGTTTGTGATTTTTCTTTGCAAACACACGACGCCATTGCTTAAAAACAACTGCAGAGTGCTTAACTTATCATGTTTATACTATATGTCTAGACGCTTGACTTCGCCCTCGACAGCATCTATGTCGTCTACCTGGTGTATCTCTTTCAAACTGGCAGCTTCCAGTCTAACACAAGAAAAAAGAAGACATGCCGCCCTGGCTACCTTGGCCGCCGACCGCAGCAATTTGGATGTAGCCACCTTTTTGAACCTGTCAAGGTCCTTCGCATTCAACGTCATAAAACAGCTTTCGACTTCTAGCGGGGACGTCGCATCCATCGACAAGCGAAAAACACTTTCCCAGCGGTCAGAAGGTCACCAGGACCACTGAGATTGTCCAGCAGGTGCAGAACGATGTGAACGACGACCCCAGAAAGTCAATAAGGGCCATTGCCAACAAGCTGGAGGTGGCAGAGCCCACTATCAGGCTTGTGGAGCATGAGGACCAGATACCAGTCGTAAGTGATAAGGAGAAGGCAGTTTGTATCCCCCCAAAAAAAACAGGAAAACCGCGTCATCCAGCCCAAGCGCTTGCTGAACAAACTCAAGTACTCTGAAAAACCGGACATGATTTGACCAAGATCAGAAAGCCAACAGAAAAAATGACAGGTGGATCTGTGCGAGCCCCGATGAGGTCCCTACGATCACGCAGACAAAGTTTCCGTCATATGTGATGGTCCTAGCCGTTGTGAGGGACGAGGATCACGTCATGCCACCGCACATCTTCGAACAAGGCTTTGGTGCCAACTCGAAGACCTACAGCGAGACCCTGGGCACTGTTGTAAAACCTTGGATTAAAAAGGTGGCCCAGGGAAGGCCATACATTTTTCAACGAGACTCTGCTTCATGCCGCAAGGCACACGCGACCCAAGATTGGCTGGCTGAAAATCTTCATGACCACGTCACCCGCCACTTGTGGCCTTCAATAAATCTTCAGGTGCAAACCCCTTCGAAAACTATGTCTAGGGCGTCGTCGAGAGAGAAGAACCAACTAGGGGCCCCATAAAACCACAGTCGTTAAACGCTGCCATCGTTGACGCCATTGCCAGCATCTACGAGGACCACTTGATCGGGGCATGCAGTCGTTTTCGAACCCGCATCGAATCGGTCATTGCCGCTGTTTTATTGAATGACCTTTGAGAACACGAATAGAAAACACTATCTGTGCCGAATTCCCGGCAAATATATTAATATTTCTTCGAAACATCTTTTTATTTGCTCACTCTACCGTTATGTTCCCAAATACCTCACGCCTATTTTAAAACTTGTTGGCGTAGCCGTTCTTCCGGGGGAGGTGCCCAAAATGCCAACTTTGCGCAACCCGCAGAAGGCGCTAAGGGCTGAGAGTGTGATACTAACTTTTTTTCAAAAAATACATTTTTTTTACTAAAGTCAGGTTTGGTTTTATATGCATTGAGTCAAGAAAATATTTGTTTCGTCTTCAAAATTAAAAATGGTCACCGGACATGGTCGACCGAACATAACTGAAAACACACTGCGGGGACACGCCATAGAGTTTTTATAATGTACGCTAGAGGTTCAACTGGCGCTAGTGTCTATGCGACTTCCGGGAGGCAAATTGAAGCAGACAGCAACCAGTCTACTTTTACAGTGCTCCTGTGCATTCCTAAGGGAAAACGCGCGTGCATTTTGCCTCTTCGCCGAAAAATAACACGGAACACTTTGGTTATTTGGGTCGTACCGAATAGTATGTAACTTGATTAACACTGTAAAAGTGTAATTGCTTTAGTTAGCGCATTTTTCTTCATCAGTGAACGATGTTTAACTTCACTATATTTCAGTCCCAGACGTGTGTTCCGCAGCAGGTGTGTAAAAACAAGCGACGATCCAAAGCAAAATTACGATCGAAAGAAATATAGAGTGTGTTCAAGGCTCGCCAGCATTCCGGTAACGCTTATATATTGATAATATGCCAGTCCTGTCACTATATGAAAATGAACCCGACGTGGCATGAGCGGATAAAAACATTCAAAACGTTGAGAATAAAGTCCGTGGCCTATGAAAGGTGTCTCTTCGTATCATTTTCTCTGCCGGCTAGCTTTTATCGGGCACTTGTTCTCAAAGATTTCGAGCGTGCGGGTGATATTTTTTGAACGTAGAACAAGCAGCTTCGCTCAGGGCAGAAAGAATAAAGCGGTATACTCACTTATTTAAAATCGGAATATATTCCGTGGCCTTCAATTTATTTTGATCGAACATGCACGTGTAATTACTAATCCGGTGTTACTGCGTAGTTCTTGCCGTCTTTCTTAATATCCGGATGTTCCTCGTTCGTTTGGCACGTATATCCCCCACGCTAAAAAGCGCCGACGTCGTGTTCGCGCAGTGTCCGACAGTGGACATAAATACACGGACGAAGCCGTTTTAGCACCGTTTTTAATGCGATGAATTTGAGAGAAAAACGCCGTAACTGCCTAATTATTTTGTCGGCCTGACTGAGAAATGTTCCAAGCTACCTAGTACCTACGAATTATTTGGGATATTTGCTCTTATGATCGAGCGCAGAGAGAAAATGCACTCACTTTTTCCCATAGAAATGCATTACCGGAAGTCAATTTTCGGCTGGTTGTAGTCTGCTTCAATTTGCTTCAGCACACTAGTGCCACTTGAATCTCTAGCGTACATTATAATAACTCTATGGGACACACCTCAAGAATGTTCGAAGCAACTAAATACCTACGCTCCGAACATGCCTGCGGACAGTTTTGTATTACCAATGTGGGACCGTCACGCGAGGAGAAAACACGCCTCGGAATGTGTCCGCGGGCTGTCGTTTGCACGATGTTTTAGGCAGTGTGGTCGCGACTGTTTAGTCGCTGACAAGCTCGACAAAGGCAGGGCCCCAGGCTTCTCGCTTCGCGATTAGCTCTTTGCTGCTTCTATCGGCTGATGACGCATTCTCATTGGCTGGAAAGCGAGAGTTAGGTGCTCGAGACTCGACAAGCCGTGCGTTTTCTATGCTGTCTGTGACCTGAAGGCGATTCAAAAATTACAAAAACTCAAACCTTTTCGTACGCGGTCGCCGTCCCTCTCCATTCACTCTTGTACAGGTGTGAACCTGTTAAAGCCAGTTCAGCTGTGACTGAGGTGAGAGAAAGAATGGCTGCCCTACTTCTGAAGTGCTCAGGTGGCAGTGTTGTAGGCGTTACCGAAAGAAAGAAAAAAGTAACGAAACACGTTACTCGTTACTTGCAAATAAGTGTAACGCGTTACCTTGCTACATTACATGAAAATAAAAGGAACGCGTTACCGTTACCGATGAAAAGTAACGAAGGTTACTTTTGCGTTACTTTATTCATCAATAATTGACACTATTTCTTTGTTTTGACGTTACAGGTATGCTAATCGCTACATTTCAAGAAACTGCATGTCAATGCAGAAACTTAACATTATTACTTTTTTTTTTCTTTTTTATGGTTTCATTTCGAAAGATGTAACACGAAACCGCCTAGAAAAAACAAACAAATTGAATTGTAACTTTTTTTTTAAGTCTTAGGAAGAAAACGTAACGTTACCCGTTCTTCAAAGTAAGACACGTAATTATGTTACCCGCTACTGTTTTGAAAAAAAGTAAGGAGTACGTTACACGTTACAGAAAAAAGTAAATGCGTTATCTCGGTGACGCCTTTACTTGTTACGCGTTACTGCCAACACTGACAGGTGGGAAGCAGTGGAGCAGCACAGGGGGGGGTGAAGGATATGGGGTTTCAGCGACCCCCCCCCCCCCCCTTCAGCCGGCCCTATAATATACGCATGTATTTTTATTCCCTCCCCCCTTCCCCCCCTCCGAACTCCAAATCATGGACCTCCCAGTCACCTCGCCCTCCCCCCCCCCCTCCTCGCCCTTTCCCCTCCCGAAAACAAATCCCTGGCTACGCCACTGGTGAGGAGCCATTGTTTTTGTGGTCGGAGGGAGTGCCTTGAGCCGATCTTTACCAAAGTCTTTGTGCACAGAAATAAAGAATGTATTTTGTCGCAAAGAAGTGTGTTTGAATGAATACGAAAGTTCAAGGAAGGATGGGCCAGCGGCAGCCATAAAGTCAAAGGGACGAGTGACACTTCGATGTGACTAATCATCTGCGAATCAGCCGAGGCTTTGCCTACGCAAAATTCCACGTCAGATAAACATGCTTAGAACATGCTTGAGACACATCCACAGATGTCATCGTGTCTGGAAGTGTCACCGCGTCTTTTGTATGATGAATGAGCAGTGCTACTGCGCCTTAGAGATTTTTTATTAAGATAAATTCTACAGCCCGAGTGAGGATGATTCCTGAATTTCCTCGTACCTTGTTCGAGCACCGCACAATACTCCTTTTGACGCAGCGTCGCTCCGACTATCCGTTTGAGTGACTCGACGGAAAACAGCACGCGTAACAAAAGCTCCTCGATCGGTCACGTGGCACCAAAGACCATCGTGGTCGAACCGCAAAAATGCCGAGTACTCACCCAGATGTCGACGGTCGTCATCCATTTGCCCCGATATGGCGGTGATCCACTCGTCGACGGCTGCACCGCGTTCCAGACTGGGGTTCTGTGCTGACACTCGGTCAAAACCGCGAGGGCGGAGCCCCGTGTTTTTTTGTGTTTTTTTTCGCTTGTTTGGAGGGGGGCGTGACCGCGACGCAGTCCCGCCCCTTTGCCGCGACGCTTGCTTTCGGAGACAAACGGCCGCGCCGAAACCACGCCCTCGTCGAAGTCCCTCCTTCGAACAAACGCGGTGCCGCACCCCCGACGGGCTGCATTTACACCCTGCAGGGCTTCCGTTCGGCCGACGCGCGATACCACAATCACCCCTAAAAAGCTGACAAAGCGGTGGGATCTACGCCCTCGTCGGACCAATCATCTACTCCCCTTTGATCACCTGACTCCGCTCTCCGCGCGGGTACCGATGGGAGGGTGATCACGTGGCAAGAGATCGCCGTACGACTGGTCAAACGGGCACGTAGCTCCCACCGCACTGTCAGCTTTGGGGTCAACAAAGTTTAAGAGGATGCGAACTCGATGGCAGCGTCCCAACCCTTCCTCGCAGACGACTCGGTCGTAGTAACGAGCAAACAGCCAGTACATTCCGATCTTCTCCGCATAAGGCATGAATCGCGTCTTTTTTTTTTTTTTTTGTTAAGAGAAAAGGGGGAGGAAGTGTTAAAATAAAATGTGCCAGTTCCTTTTTTTTTTTTTTTTTTGTTGGAAAATGAATAATTGCTTCATTCTTGCCAAGCTGTGTTTCGATGCTCGCATTTTTACTCTCGTGGAATCCTCGTCAGTCAAAATAGCAACCTACACTTTAAAAGAAAAATCGTTTTTGAAATGTTTTTGACGCCCAAAAGAACTCTTCTAGCTCGCGAAGAACGGTTTCACCTCACGCACTATCGCTCCCTGGCGCACTAGAAAGGCAACTGGGCGATGAAGGATCTCTTTCGCATCAAAAAAAGAGCTTAAAAGAACCCGTATAGGTTTTCCCCGACGAACCATTTTAGGGTGCTCATAACTTTTTTAGGGTGCAAGATATGGACACGCCGAAAAACCTCTAAAAATTCATTCATGGCCTTTTTCCTTTTATTTATTTATTTATTTATTTATTTATTATTTTTTTTTTTTAATGTGCCTGCCGACCGGCGTGCCCTCTACGGCAAGGCTCCCAAACACGCAGCCTGAGGGCCGCCTGCATTTCGCGGCCCTCTGGGACGCGGCCCGTAAGTATCCCGCCTCTGCGGGATCCCCCGTTCTCATCACTCGAGCGTGGCATGCGCCATGGATAATGGTCTCCTGCCGTCCATTTATTTCTGCCCAAAGCGAAGTTCTTCTCTGATACCCTGCTCGCATGTCTGGCAGTAATCTAATTGTTGTTTAAATGAGGATTGTTTTCTTTTGAATGCCACTAAAATGCACGTATTTTCGAATAATTTTGTTATAAATATCGCCAGGAAAGCAAGAACTCTCGTATGAAGAAATATTTTGTTCAAAGCGCGTAGAATTTAAGGGAATACTTCGATGGAATTCGAAATATACGTGCCGTGTTTAGAAATAGGCTGAATATGATCCGATCAATATCCGTAAATGGTAATCTCACGTTTGTCTTTAGAGCTTAGTGGCTGTATTTTTCGTTATAAACGGCCCTCTCTGGCAAGCGCTCGAAAAGCAGCCAGTGGAGAGCACGTGACAACCGGCGCAATTGTGATGTAGATTGTCTCGGGACGAGCAAAGCTGCGGCGAGGCTGACGTCAGCAGGATATCCTAGCCGTTTCAGCCACCGAAACGGCCAAACCACGCCAACGATCAGGCCACCGCAGCTAATTCCCAAATCTGCCTCTGTACGAATTTTGAGTGACGGGTTAATCTTCTATAATTATGTAGAGAGACAATAGCGACGTATGGGACGCACAATGGAGAGTGCCGGCAGAAGGGGAGTTCCTCCTTCCCCTCTTCCCTCACGGTGGCCGGAGGCGAGACAGGCATCGCCACTACCTGTAAAGGTTCCTAAACGAGCATTACAAACGAGGCTATAGCAAAATCCACCAGGTGTTCTTTGCTAATCATTTAATTCGTTTTAGAATTTCTTTTCGAGTCCTTCTTGACCAGAGATTGGTGTGCCTAATGTGATACTGCTCCCCTAACCACAAATAGATCAAACGATAAGGGCCGAAATTTCGTTGTAGTAACGACAGGGCAACGGTAATGTGCTTGATCTCTGGACATATTAAAAATTTGTAATAAGTTGGAGGGGTAATAATTTTTTTAATCGTGATATAACATTAGATCTACGTTCAAACTAGTCATGAAGAAATTCAAGCTAAAGATGTCGCTGGTAAAAAAAGGTGAGTGTACAAAAATCAGAATACGAGGTCAGGATATATCTGGCTGAGACACTCGGCTGATTTTCAGCGTGAAACATGAAGCGCTATTGGGTCTTCTGACACCTCAATATATCGCATGGCAAAAAATGAAACAAAAATTCTGGGCGTCGTCCGAGTCCCTTTAAGGGCAGCTGTCAACGCTATGAGCTCGCGCGTCAAGCCTTCGCTGTGGTACAACGTAAGGTGAAACTGAGTATAGTGTTTCAACTTTGAGCAATCCAAACTATAACAGATTTCCGGAATGTCCAAGCTCGACTTCTCCATACTCGCTATTTATTACCTCTAAACTCAAAAGAAAACAGAAAATTAAAGGGCATCTCCGCCGTAATTTTTAAAGTCACCGATTTCTATAAAATTTTCACCATGTATTTGGATGCCCTTCCTGAGCATGTGTACGAAATATCTCCGAAAAATATTAATTTTCTTAGAAGAAAATGAATTTTGAAATTTGTACGTCCACACCCAAATCACTTGCTGCCGCCCTACTGGCAACACTGAGGAAGAGCGGCACACGGAGGCTGCCATGATGGCACTGACGTTGCCGTGACGTCACATGTTGGTCAGGGTGCTTGCTTTGGAGCTTGTTGGTGCTAGGACTGTCTGGTTTTTGCTTATTTTATCGGTTTATACAGTTATGGAAGAGCGCGGAATGGCGGCTGGAGGGAATTGGTGTTGTGCCGTAGGGTGTAATAACACCACGAAGAAACGCAGCAATGTGACATTTCACAGTTTTCCGACCGACAAGTCGACACGAAAGAAGTGGGTCCTGGCAGTCCGATGTGAACGCTGGCTCCCAAGTAAAAACAGCCGAATCTGCTCCGACCACTTCTCACCGGATTGCTATGACGCTAGCGTGCGACTGAGGGAATCTTACGGGTTGGGCGGGGACGGGCGCAGAAAGAAGCTACTCAAATGTGCCGTGCCTACCGTGTTCGCGCACACACAACTCTGACAGCCGCCGATCGAGCGACGAGCGTTTGCAAAGAGGAGAAGAATGCAGGTAAGGGTGCTTTATGTCGCTCTGAAATAACAACCAGATGCCGCTTCCGCTTCGGAAGCGGCATCTGGGTCCACATGGCGGCGGATCACGCATGCAGCCGCCGCTGGCGCTTCTCTCGGAGGCGATGCCGGCGGATCGTATGAGAACGGGTTATCGTCATCGTCCTCAAAATCTAGCCACATATCCTCATCATTGCTCGATTCAGACGAGTTTGATGAGTCCATTTTCATCCGCGGCACGAACACAAAACAGTGACCTGCTGCCAGGCTGGCCAGTCTCAAACTGCACACGTGCGAGTGTTTATACCATATGTGACGTCACATCAAAATGGCGGACCAGTCGAGTGGCAAGTTAGTTTCGGTTTCGGTTTCAGCCTATTTTAACGATTATAAATTATGTAAACAGTTTTTTAATGATTTAACCGCTGCTATAGGCTAAATTTTTAGTACCCTTTCCGAAAATATGTTTCGATAAAAACGCTCAAATTGACGGCGGAGCTGCCCTTTAAGAACCCACATTCCAATTTTTCCGCGCTTTCCGGCGGGGTGACGTCGTTTGTTGGGTAGCTTGCAAGTCAAGCTGGCAGTATAAAAACACACTACGTTGCTCGTTTCATTCGTGATTTTCTGTTGGCGTAATTTTTTTTTTTTTTTGCATTCATTGTATTTTATAAAGTTTCTTGTGAACTGTTAGGAACAACTTGTGCTGCTCCCATATGTTACAATTTTCAACGTAACGTTTCCAGTGTTACCACTGTACATGTATCTGCCACTCAGCTCCTCGAACCAGTATTAAAATTCCACAACTTCTCAAAAGAAAAAAAAAGTTATTGAGACCTGTAGTTTGAGTTGCTAATTCAGATATGTCTATTAATGCACTGAGTCAGTTTTGAGACAAATTAGTGACCTTTTCCGGAGCTCCCCTTAGGTTGCTCATCATTGACTTATCGCGCACCCATTCAGACGGCCAGCATAATCAACCCGCTCAAGGGTCGCGAGCATAGGGGGAAAGTGTTAAATTTGCCGGAAGAAACTGGGCCGGACAACCCCCCACCCCCCTCCCCCGATAAGACGCGTTACCAAGTAACAAATGCGATTTCGACTAGGAAATAATTATTCAAAATAACTTATTTTCCAGTGCAACAAGTGATGAGAAGTCAAGCTCTAGACACAGGAGAAGCAAAATAAATATACGAGCTCGCTTAATTTAGTTTTTTTTTTTCATTTTGTGAGGCTTGATTGCAAAAAGAATGAAAGACGTTTACAATCCCTTGAACGCCGAATTAGAGCGCAGCTCTTGAGGAGGAGGAGGGGAAGGTACGGAGAGGAAGCTACGCCCTCATCCTCTCCTGCTCGCCTCCCATTTAGGGGAATTTTTTGTGCGAAGTTTAGCGGAGAATTTTTTCCGCTGAATTTAGTGGGGAACTTTTTCCGCTAAATTTAGCGGGAAGAATTTTCCGCTAAAATTGGCGGAAAATGTTTCCGCTAAATTTAGCGGGGAATTTTTTCCGCTAAATTTTGCGGGCATCTTTCCGCTAAATTTAGCGGGGAAAGTTTTCCGCTAAATTTAGCGGGAATTTTTTCTTCTAAATTTAGCGGATAATTTTTTTCGCTAAATTTAGGGGGGCGAACTTTCCTCTAAAATT